TTTATTTTGAGACAGGGTCTCCCTAAGACACTAATTTGCCCAGGCTAGGCTTGAACTTGAGATCTTCCTGCCTCAGCCTCCCAGAGTGCTGAGATTACAGGAAGATTACGCTATGCCTAGCTAAAAGTATCTTAACTGGTAAACCTGTTCAATCAGTCCCTTGATGAAATAGCTCTAGTGAGAAACTCGGAAGTAAGACCTTGGAGTAAAATAAAAAATTTAAAAAGTGCTGGGATGTAGCTTCATTTGAAGGCCCTGAGTTCAGTCCCCAGTACTGCAAATAAAATAAAATATAAAATAAAATTTTAAAATCTAAAGAGAAAATGTTTTTCTGATTTTGTAGTAAACTAGCAAGAGTATGAGGTGCTTCCTGGGAGAATTGTTAACAAATCTACCTTTCCTGTAACTTACTCTAGAATTTGAGAACCAATCTCTAAACGTGAGGTCTGCGTTTACTATCTCTGACTTGGAATCAATTTCTGTAATTTAAAATTACTGGTTTTTTCACCCTCTGTCCACAAGACATTGCTATCAAATTTCGTGTTCTGCTGGCACGGATCTACGGGCTCTATCTTTATTCCTCACCTGAGCTTCAGGGGGAGATGAGTGCATCTCTCTGCTGGGCCGCAGAGACCGGAGCGGAGAAATTCTTCTGGCTTAGGGTCGTATTCTGTAACTCAGGTCAGGCCATACTGAATGTCCCTCTGAATTGGATGGCAGTTAGTTCTGCTGAATGACAGCAGCCCACAGTTAGACCTGAGTGCGAGCTTTTTGTGTTTAGCTTACGGTGTGTTTGTACCAATTCTAGTTGGCAGGTCTGGGTACTTCACTAGAGCAGAACAACTCCGGTGATCAAAGTGTATACAGCTTGCACAGAGCCAGAAAGTTTAGAATAACGAAAATAGAGGTGTGTGCTATGGCTTAATTGGTTCACCAAACACCAGAAAACTAAACTAAGGTTGTTTGTTGAGGTGAGAAAGATGGAGTAAAACGGTACCGTGTGTGCCCGAGAGTCTAGCAGTGTGGAATGCATTGCCACGACGCTTAGGGGAGATACAACTTACAATACTTCCTTTGGGTGATAATGCCATAGTCATGTCACATGGTGACTGAGAACCTTCCATGGGCTGAGCGACACGGTACTGACCTGATAAAACGTCCAGGGGGCCTCCCCTGACGCTCGGTACTGTTCTGTCAGTGACAGGCTATAGAGTTGGATTTGTCCTGGTGTTTGCTCCCGACACGAGTGTTCTCATCCTGTAATCTCGAAGAGAACCTGCACCATATGCCCTCTTCCATTTCCGTTTTAGCATCGTCAAAGAGCTGGGTGTTTGATGGGCACACCTGCCAGCAGGTCTTCTCGGTTTTGGAGTGGTTTTAAACTGAGAGTAGTGCTGGGCTGGACCTCAACTATTTTTTTTTCTTTTTGGTTCTCTTAAGGTAGAGAAATCTTTTTAACACATTAATCAGATGAAAGTTTTTTCTTTTAATTGGCTAATGGTTTATAGACTTTTTATAAATACAATGTTACCCTTACAAGAAATGACTGTTTATGAAGTGCTAGAAGGTTCACAGGTTAAATAAATTAGCACAATCGGAAGTCCTTTGAAGCGCGATCATTCCTTTGTTCGTCGTCTCTAAAAATGCAAGAACATTTAGGTTGTGCTTTTTATGTTTTATAAGCTGAGAATCTGACAATTTTTCCAGAAGACAGTCATATTGCCAAATGCATCGTATTTGCTTCCAAATTGCTTTTGCAAATAAGAGATCATTTCCAAAGCTTTCTGGGAAGCTCTTCCAGAAATAGCGAGTGCGTGTTCTCTGCAGTCATCGTAAGGTAGCTGTGCCGATTGTGAGGGTCTCTGTGCCCATCCAAACAGCTTCACTTTAGCTCTAAGTGGAGAGTTAGTCCCAAGAAGAGTGGAAGAAACCGGCTCAGAGCAGCTGAAGGGCCTGACTGTGGACGGATAGAAGTCAGAGAGCTTCGTGGTAACTCTGCCGGCATCACATGTGGGCTTTCTCTAGGCAGGTGTATGGTTGAGGGTGAATCTGGATACAAATAAGAGAGAAAAACTACAGACACCGTGGACAGATGCAGTGCCCACGGCGATCGGTTCTGTCACTTACGGGTGTCCTGACGCCTCCCACTTTGCTGCCGTGCTTTCCCAAAGGCGGTGTCCTCTCCACCTGGCCCCTGCAGCGTCTGAAGCTGGCTAACGATGGTGCTGTGTGTCAGGGAGGAAGTGCTCCTAGACCCTGTTTTACAAGCCATGTGAACTTCTCCAAAAGCCAGGCAGAATCTTTCCCCCTACATCTTTCACCAGAGTGGTATTCTGTGCCCTGTGCTCACGTAGCCTCTTTCCGGAAGGAGGCACAGACAGAACTGTAGAGACAGGAGCAGCAGGGACAGAACAGAGCGTCTGGCTGTTGACCCTTCCCCTGAACAGCCCTGACAGGTGGTGGTTTAGTAACTATTGGTTAAATGAATAAATCACTGAATATACAGCGTTGATCAGTATTTTTGGCTGTGTGTCAGATTCATACTTTCACATCCTAAACCATATTATGGCAGTCATTTTTTAATCAGAATTTTCCAGAAATGTGGCTTCATTTTCCTCTTCCACTTAGAGCAGTTTAACACAGCACTGTCTAGGAGAGCTGCCTGGATGCCACAAAGGTTTTGTTCTGGCAGCCACCGACCACGTATGGTTCAGGACCCGGTGAAATATGTTTGGTCCAACTTAGAAACAGAATTTTTAACTCCGTTTCATCTTCATTCAAGGGCATTTGAATTTAGCCACGTGTGGTAAGTGGCCGGTGTGCTGAGCGGCACAAGTTTAACGTCTGATGATCCGGAGGCCGGTCTCCCTGGCGGCCCCACCGCTTGGCAATACATCCTTCTCCCAGTGCACAGACCCCTGTGCTCCAGGCGCCTCGTTCTCGCTCTTCCTACTGGAAATCTTTGCAGTCAACTCTTTTCTTCTCTTGCCCTTAGTGAATTAGTAGCAGCAACCGACAGGGGCCATACCGAGGGCAAAGTTGGAGACGCATGGGCTTCCATAGAGATGAAGAACAAAACACAGAAGCCAGCACTGGGTGGGGAAATAGGAAAAAAACAGCATGAAAATCTAACAGTTGATGTAGGAAAGCATGAGACTTGGGTTTTGCTTGGGTTTCTCATCGTGGGGAATCCAGGGTGTGTCTGAGTGCATCTGAGCACCAGCTCTAGGCACAGAGACTAGCGATTCCCAAGGCCCCGGCACACTGGTACGGTGGGCTTTATGGGCAGCCTCGGCCTCCCTTGGCCTCCCCTGCCCTGGAACCTGCATGCCAGGCTTCCGAACAGTGCATCGCTCCAGATTTCCTGGCCAAGTTTCTGAAAGCCTGACTGTCCTGCAGCCTCACTTCCTGTGCGGAGCTCTGCCTACTCTGTTGAAATACAAACAAGTACCTGAAGCCCTGTCCCATAAGGAGTTGCAAGAGGCATTTCCGAACAGAAAGAGAGTCTCAGGACTCACGTGGGTGTTCTGCTGGTGCCTCGTCGGTCTCCGCTGTGGACTAAGTCTTGTTCCGCAGCTTCATAGAAGAGAAAGTGAGCAAACGAAATGCTGAATTAGTACCCTGTTTCCTATTTGTCCAGGGCAGTGGTGGCAAACCTTTTAGAGCTCTCATTGACACAAACAGCCCGCTGCGGCACGTGTGCTGTAGGTTCGCCACCACCAGCCCAGGGCATCGATACAATCGAATGAGGCAGTGCGTGCAAAGTGCACTAAATGCTGAGCACCTGCAAGTAGCTGCAACGATTCAGTCATTCTCAGGCAGGATAACCCCACTGAGGAACGGGGTGGGGCTGAAGGCTTGAGCCAGAAGCACACGGGTTCCCACGTGCAACATAGTCTCACGGTATGTGTGTTTTCTGCCTTTAAAATCTAGCATTAAAAGAAATATATGAGAATTACAAGACACAGATGGTGGTGGGTTGGTGCTGAAGTTCTACCCGTTCCATGCAGTGGTGTGAAGATGAATTCAAGTAGACATAGAGATAATTGGGATAATTTCCCTCCACCTCTTACAGGTGTAGATCTTCTGGTTTTTTGCAGTACTGGTATTGAACCCAGGGCATGCACACTCAGCTGCATCCCTAACCCTTTCTTACTTACCATCTTTGAGTCAGAGTTTCACTAAGGTGCCTTGGCTGGATTCGAACTTGTATTCCTCTTGCTTCAGCCTCCCAGAGTGCTGGGAGTATAAGCACGTGCCATCACGCCTGGCAGAAATTTAAGTCATTGTGGGGGAAAGAGCACGTTGTGTTCCTGGCTTTGGCATACAGTAGTGTAAGGCTGCCTTTTAAGTTCATAATCACCACTGCTATAATTACGTAACTATTTCAAGTAGATGGAAAGGGTGATTACCTAACCTGAGTTTTGGTAGTGCCGGTCACAATTTGTGCCTGAGAAACCTGGTTCACCTTTGCAGATATCCCTATTTAGCCAAGCCAGCTACTTTTAAGAAATCAGGTTGGAATTAGATTTTTTGTCTTAAACAATCCAACTTGACTGAGATAAGCAGAAAGCCAAATGGTTTTTAAAATAATGGACTTGCTTACGTGGCGATTCATGTTTAGCTGGGAAGCAAACATATAGGTGTAGTATTGGAAAAGTCAAGTTCTTGTTGGGCTTCCTCCCACCAATTCTACGGAGTTGGGCAGGGGCAGGGTCGTCCTCCCCACCGGCGCCAGGCTTCACACGCTGGGCTGTCCCGGATATGTCACCTGGATATGCTGATCTCTCACGGCCTCCTGTCTCCGCAGGGCTCAGCCTGGCCATCCTGTCGCACGTCTTCTGCACCAGGTGCTCCATGTTTGCGGCGAAGCTCCTGACTCACATGATGACAGCCAGCCTGGGGACGCAGGTAGGAGAGCGCTGGGTTCTGTTGCTCAGGAGATGCTGTTTGTGTTCCGCCCCTTCCGGCCCTTGGGCCACCTGTCTGCATCAAGTGACCTCTGCTTAGTTGAGATAAGTGTGCCTTATTTGTCACAGAGGTCAGGCAGGCAGGAGGGGCTGCGAGACGAAGAACATCAGACCTTCAGCGTACACGTAGTACCTTCTTTCTGGGGAGCAGTACCTTAGTACCTTCAGATACGAGAAAGTGGCTTCTTGTCACGAAGCATCCTACCATCAATTAATATCTGCTCAATATTTTACTAATGTGTGCATTAATAATATGCTCTTTAATCTGCTTCAATAAATATGCTAAGTAATAAATTCTTTATATGGAGGGCACTAAGATGATCTGGATAGGTCTGGGGAGATAGCTCATCACTGTGGCATGTGCAAGGCTCCAAGTTCAATCCCCAGCACTAAAAAAAATGAAAAAAGGCCAGCTGTGGCGGTGCACACCTGTAATACCAGTACTCAGGAGGCTGAGGCAGGAGGAGTGCAGTAAGTTCAAGCCCAGCCTGAACTACATGATGACAGCCTGTCTCAAAAAATTAAAAAAAAAAAGATGATATATACATTAAGACATCTGGATAATAATACCTATTGCTTCATGTAATGGCATACGTATACTTTGGAAGAACATCGTCTTTCGAAAAGTTGTCCAGTTTTCTATCCTGGAAGACATAGTGTGAGCAAATTACTCGTTAGCATGCAGTTTAAAGCATGTGGCTGAGAGCACAGTTTTAGGCACAGAGGCAGAGCTAGTGATGGGGTGAGATGCCTTTCCTGCCCGTGTGATGCAAGCTGCCTGGAGGAGTAGCTGCACAGATGACCGGCCCCACCCGGAGGGAATGCAGGAGGCCTTCGCTCATCTGGCAGTCAGGAACGTCTTCCCAGAGGAGGGGGCATTTGAGTGCTACTCAGATGAGTGAGTGTTTACACATTTTTGATGAGGACAAGAAAAGTAGAGACATTCGTAGAGGCAAAAAAGAGGAAAGAGTAATCACGTCCTAAGGCTGGCATTACAGATGCATGCAGAGATGCTGTGTGATGTCGCCGTTAACTTCGGTAAACGTTATTGGGTAAAATAAAAAGTCCCCTTTCTGGGGTGACCTGTGGAGTGTGGGCCGTGCTGTGTTTCTTGTTTGGGCCTAGTGATGGGAGTGTAGCCAGTTCTGTATTTACTGTGCAACACTCACAGTTTGCACACTGTTTCTCATGGTGCACTTTACTGAACTCAGGAAGAACAGTATTTTTAAAGCATGACATTAGTGGAGGAATTGAAATATGAAATGGAAAATTACCTGGGACATTGCCAGTCTGTGGCCTTCTTTGTCCCAGAAGTGAAAATGGCCCATGCATTTCATAACTTCACCGTCTAGAGAACAGTCAAGCGCTGGCCTGCAGGTGGAGGGGCCCGGAGGGGGTTTCTAACCACCTGTGGCCTGTGGAAGGTAGCCGCTCTGCATTTGACGAGGCCGTTTCCACCTCCTCCGTGTCCCGCCTCAGCTGTCTGATCTCCCTCCCTTGCTGTGTGTGAGAGCTTTGCCTTCTGTAATTAGAGGTGACTTGGCTGTGTTGACCACCCATCTTGGTGATTTTTTGGCAGCAGGATTTGCTACAGACTTAATTATAGCACAGAGAATTACAGCGCTGCAGCGTCCTGGCAGACGAATTCGCTCATGTCTAGGGATGTGAAAGAAAGAGCCAAAATTTGTATTTTGGGGCATTGCTTTTCTGAATCACATCGTACTTAACACTGATTTTGGAGAAACTCATTCATCAATAATAATTCTAATAGAATAAAGGGAGCAGGATGGCATGAAACATCGTACTGTACCACACTGGACGTGAAGTAAGTAAGGAAAGAATTCTCAGACTCTCCACACTAAGCGATGAAGCTGATCGTACCAGCACGGGCCCTTCGCCTTTCTAAATATGAAAGCTGTGTTTCTAACCCCAGTTGCAGCACCTTGCAGTGGGAGTTCCTACAGTTCTGGCCTTGGGTCTCTTGCGTGGGACCCTCCGTCAGGGTGATGGTGCCATCCTTAGGGTCTTCTCTAGAGAAGGTAAAAGAACACAGGATTAGTCTGTGCTTCTGGTTACCTCAAGCATTTGAGTTGTGAGTGCTGTGCAGACAGGTCCACCAAGATATGGAGGCTTCAGAGCAGGATTGCTGACCTGGGACTGACTTAGATGACTTTAGTGAGAAAGGAACAAAATGGAAATGCGTTACTCCTTGACTTCATGTTGGAACAATGTGGAATAATACATCAGTGAATCAAGTAGTCAATAAAATATGCTGAAGCTTGGCAGTACTTCTTTACTTCTAGAAATACGAAAAATATTATACCCATAATTAAGTGTGTATAGTTTATTGTATTTATATCCATAGCTAGAGCAAGGTAGACAAGAAGCCAGAAACTTATTTTTGCTTTGAAAGTCAGGGGTGTGGAGAAGGGAGGAGAAAGGGGATGGGACAAGGAACTAAGACGTGTTATGTACATGTCCTGACTGCGCACGAGGAGTGTGAACATTGCGTTCTGCAGACTTGTACTGCTAAAGAAAATGTTAGCTGAGTAAGTTAACAAGATAATGTTTTAATCTGGAATTTGTCTCCCAGCACCTTTCAGTCACTGACTGCAAAACACCAGCAGGTGGCAGTAGAAGATTTTTGCAAAATGGATCAGTCTGGCAGTCATGGGAGTTTAGCGGAGGAACAAACAAAAACTCCATGCTGTACTTTCCTAGGACTTGTTTGGGGTAGAAGGTGTTTGTCTGCAGCACATCAGATAACACATTTGTGATTTCCTACCCTTATCCTTTCATGCCCTTTGTTCAGAATTGAGCCAAGACATTAGTAAGGTAACCTGAGAAAGCTCATACTTATGTAACTGGCTTTGGATGCATCTTGCTACCACTTGCCACTTATAGTTAACTTCATAAAATAACTTTCATCATATTTATGCTGCGATAAGCTTTAAGAATTATGTTGCTGATAAAGAAAAACATGTTTATTGGAATGTCACGGTGAGGACTTTTGAGATAAGGTCAGTATTTTCAGTAGTTTATCAGAAAGTGTGCATTTTTCTTCAATGCCAAGTCATGTTGTTCTTATTTACTTGAAAGGAGCTGATTAAAGAGCTAGAAGTTGTGGAGCCACTTACTTCAAGGATGGTGTGGGAAAACAGCAAACAAATCTTAGTGGTATGCAGTGATATTTCTGGGGAAAAAACATCTAATTATATCTTTGGGATTTGTATCTCCGAATCACACTGCCAAGCCACGTGGCCCCGATAAGGCTGGTAAACAGCTCGGACAAAGGACAAGTTTGCAGTTCAGGTTTCTTAGCTCGGGGGTTCTGTCAGGAAAAGCATTTCTCCAAACCTAAAAAAAGAACAGAAGTTTCCTCACAGAAAGCATTACGATAAGCTAGAACTCTGTTTACCCTGATTAATAATACTTAACAAGGTGGGAAATATTTGTTTTTGCCTGTTTGACTTAAATGCATTTTCTGAAATCGAGTAACAAATTTGTCTAGGAAAACGATGACCCTGTGTAATAAATATCACACTTGCCTGCCAGCCTGGACATTCTCTGAACTCCGACAGCAATGTGAACAGCTAAGCATTTGGAATTCTTGCCTTCAGTTTTTGGTAGCCACTGGTTGTTAGGAGTTTCAACAACATAGCCCTCCCCCAAGAGGAGGAGCCCTCCCCCAAGAGTTGCTTTAAGATTTGGAAAATGCTCTCTGGCAGTTAGCAGAACTTGGACTGGTAGCATCTTTCGACTGGTTTCTCATTCTGCAGGATTTGGAGTGTCATTTTGTGGCGTCTTGTTTCCGAGGGAGGCTCCCACTCAGGCTCCCTTGCTGAGAGATTCTCCCTTAACCTGGGGTCTGTATCACCCTGGTTCTGAGTCTGGAACATCTGTGAGAGCCTCCGAGAGCACTGTCTGTGCATGACAAGCCCCTTGTGATGTGCCAAACGCCAGCTCCTTCCCATTGTGGAAGGGCTGGGTTCTGTCCCAAGCAGCTTGCACTCCTCTGGCAAGGCTGTAACTCAAGTAAGTCATCGTGTGATGAGGGCCTGAGGCACATGTCTGACTAGCTTATTTTTGAAGCAGATTGAGGGGAGAGATGGTGAAACACTCCTTAGTCAGAAGGGATTCTTTTCTCAGATGCTCTAGTTACTCACTGATTAACAGATGATGCTTTGTTGTTTCGACTTTTGCTACTGAAAAAATATTTACTAGGTCAAAATGGGTCTTGCCTTGAAGAGTGGGACCTTGGGGGTTATTATGCAGTAGAACATTTATGATTTATGTGCTAGTGTGGCTAAACAGAGCGGGAGAGTGCATCCTAAATTCAGGGCAGGAGCTCGTCAAAATGCACATATGGCGTCGGTCCATGGGGGAAGGGTTCCAGGTTGCATTTGTGCAGACATTAGATTAACTGTATTATAATCTGAGTCCACCTCTTGTTGCTGTTATTGACACTGCTGTTGTAATGATTATTACTAAACCCAAGCTATCAAACCGTTTTCCTTACTGTGAAAGTTTCCTGTCAGTCCATTAATTAAAATTTTACTTACACTTAAAATTTCAGAAAAAGAAAACACATTGTCTTTGAATCTGCTTATATTTATTGTTCCTTCTTCTTTGTTCTCTCTTGCATGTTCTTCTTAAAGTTTTTAATTGATACATATTTGATAATTCAATACATAGGTTCAGTGTGTAATGATCAGGGTAACCAGCATTTCTGTCTCCTCAAACATGTATCGTTTCTATATGTTGAGAACCTTTGCACTTAGCAAATATATGCTAACGTGGTGTAGACTCTGGTTACCCTAGGTGCTATGGAACACTGGAGCTAATCCTTCCCACTGAACTGTATTTCAGCACCTATTTTCCAACGTCTCTTTAGTCACTCCCTCCCCTTATGTTTCTTGGGCTTTTGTGACCACCGTTCTG